GGACTCGATCCCGGGACTCCAGGATCATGACCTGAGCCGAAGGCAGTCGCTTAACCAACTGAGCCACCCAGGCGCCGCAAAAAAGCATCTCTTTTGAGGTTAATTAGGGTGTGGAAATCTCATCCAGAAAAAAAAGTTTGTTAAAATTGATAGCATAAAAGATAATAAAATTTCAAGATCAAAAGACATTAGGCAGGAAAAGTCCTTAAAAAAAGGGATTAAGAAGACTGAAGCATGGACACATTTTAGAGAGAATTCAAAATTTTTTAGAGGTGGGGGGAGGGACAGAGGGAGAGGGAGAGAGAGAGAATCCGAAGCAGGCTCCACACCCAGCACCGAGCCAGACTTGGGGCTGGATCTCACAACCCTGAGATCATGACCTGAGCCTAAATGGAGTCAGACCCTTAACCGACTGAGACAGCCGGGCGCCCTGGGAGAATTCAGTTTAAAAGTGGCTAAACTGGGGGGACAGGGCTGATACTTAGGTACATTTCTGTCTTTTGAAAAATTCACTCACGTGGAGGGTCTTTGTGTAAAGTACCGCCTTGTCTCTTTCTACCCATCGGCTCGGCCCCACCTTCCTGCTGTCCCTCCCCCATGGGTCCCTGCCGCTTCTGTCTCCCGCACACGCCGTGAGAGGTGCTGGTTCCCCGGCGCCGGCAAAAGCCGGAGCTCTGACGTGAGCACCTTTGTAGGTGCAATCCTCCCAGGAAGCCAACGCGGAGGTGATGAGGGAGATGACCAAGAGGCTGTACAACTGGTACGAAGAAAAGCTGCAGGAAGAGCGGCAGAACCACAGCGCCGAGAAGGAGGCTCTCCTGGTGTGTATGTCCCAGCTGCCGATGGAGTAACAGAGAACGTTCGGCCCGTTCTTGCTGGGAGGCTGAGGTAGCAGGGTTTCTGCTGGGAGGCGTCAGCGGACTCTAACGTGCGTGAGGGTCAAGGTGCTTACTCACTGGCGCACTCACTCCCCCACTTCTCCCTCCCTCTGTGCGTCCCCCTCCTTGCTCAGGAGAGCCCCCAGTCTCTGCCTCTGACCACACCCGTTTCTCTGGCTGGGCTTGCCACTTGCCAGTCTCCCGGCTGGTCCCGGGCCTGCGTGCAGCTGCGCCCTCTCTCCCGCCATTTGCTCCCCTTGCCCCGAGATGCCCTCCTTCCCTGCCCTTGCTCCTCCCTGAGCTCAGGCAAAGCCTTGAAAGTGCCACCCTCCCCATGCGTGAAGTCCCTGCCATCCATGAGAAGTGTCCTGTGCGTTTGGGAAGCCCACGCTCTCTCTGCGCTCTTTGCTGTGGCGTTCTGTGGTCCCTGTTACTAGAGGTGGACTGTACACCTCACAGCCTGGCTTCTCTAGGAGCGAGTGTGAGTTCCTCGAAGGCCGGGAGTCCGCGCCTGCCTTATCTTGTGTTCTTAAAGCTCTATAAATGCGCTGAATGGTTGACCGAGTTTTGGGGCTTTGCGATATGGGAGAAGGGTCTAGGCATTCTGCATTCAATTCCAGATATGGCCCTACTTCCCTTTATATTGTTGGCAAATACACTGACATGTTGAACATCCAGTCAAGGGAGAAATAACATTCGCAGGCTTGTTTTTTTAGACATAAGGAGTCAGGGAGGAAAAGGAGAAAAAAGAACTGGGCCCATTAAAAAGCCACACGATGTTTCTTTATTTCCAGGTGAGAATCAGAATCATGGGAGTCCCTGATCTGAGTTCATTACACTCCTAGGCCCCAAGGGTGTGCTTTTAGAGAGACATCATGATTTAGCAAGGTCGGCGCTGTTTGGACCATAGTTAGCAGCCTCGGGACTCCAAGGCTGTGCTGAGAACAATGTGCTTCTTTTGCAGGAAGAAACCAAGAATTTTCTGAAAGCTATTGAAGAAGCCAATAAAAAGATGGAAGCGGCGGAGATCAGCCTCGAGGAGAAGGACCAGAGGATCGGAGAGCTGGACAGGCTGATTGAGCGCATGGAAAAGGTAACAGACACTGCTCTGGGCCCAGCGCCCACTTGCCCAGACTCCCCGCCTCTCCGTAGTCCCGGCAGGCCTGTCTGAAGGTGTGAGGTACCTTCAGCATCCATCCCGCCCGTCCCTCCAATTTGTGATTTAAACAGGAAAGACAAAGCTATAAAATAAAGTGTGAGGAGGTCTGACAAAGCTCTCATTTTTCCTATGGTAACTATTTTGATGCTTTAAAAAACATTCCGTATATAATTATTTACAAAAATTAGTATTTTCACACCCTGCTTTGCTGGGGTCCCAAGCACGAACTTCCATTTACTCATTGGATAACCAAGCCTTCTTTAAGTGTTCCATCCGTACCCTGAGTGGGCATGCATCTGAAAGGTTGGCTTTTCTCGGACACCCCACATCTGCCAGCCAGGTGGAGGACCCCATGTTTCTGTGGGCGTGGGTGGGGGTGGGGTGGCTGGGGACGGCAGGAGCTCGGCTGAGATAATGAAGCCAGTTGAGAGCAAGGGAGGAAGCCGGACGTTAGGCAAAACATGGAAAACGGGATGAAGGGGTGGGAGAGAGGAAAGAGAAAAAGCAGGAAGGAAGAAAAAGGCAGGGTGACCTTTAGCAGGTGACAGCTGACTTCTGGGGGAGGGTAGTTTGCGGACAAGCTGTGGACGGTTTCTGGAGAACGGCTCTCAGCAGCATGTGGGTCTACAGGGCGGTGGCAACCTGCCAAGACTGTGACATCAGAGCCCCCGGTAACGCATGCTGAGCAACCCCCTTGTTGGTGATGAGCCGGGGGAATGACAGTGTGCGCAAGGTCAACACGGGGGCTTCCAGTGGTTCTGAGACAGGTCTGTCTCCTCACCTCTGGTGTCTGCAGCGAAGACCCCCCTACGGTCCCCTGATGAGGTGAGGTGTAACCAGGGTGGGGATGGCATGAAACTTCGTGCTCTGGAGCTTCGGGGCTTGTGGGGGCTTCCACTTGAGGTAATGTCTTTGTTTGGGAGGGACTTGAGCAAAGTGAAGAGTCCATCACAGTGTCACCTCCCTCCTTGGGAGAACAGAATCCTGTCTTTCATTGAAGAGAAGAGGGTAAAGCAGCATGCTTAAGACTAACATCAGGATCGGTTGGCAGTGGTAGAAAAGATTGGGCAGTGATGGCATTTTCTAGAACTTAGGTGAGCTTTCTCCCACATTCCCTCTCCCCAGCAATCGCAGAAGATACTGGTCACATGAATGCTCCCTGTGGGTGATAGACTCGCCTGCCATATTCAGGCACAAAGGGAGCAGGCAGCCTGGTTTGGGTAGGAGGCCAACTTCCTGCCCATGGGGTGGCTCAAAATACGGGTTTTAGAATCAGATAGACCTAGGGTTTGAATCTTGCCTCTCTTTCTAGTTGTGGGCAGTTACTTGACTCTTCCAAACTGAATTTCCTCTTCTGTAACATGCTGATAGTCATCATTCTGCTTAAGGCTCTGTGAGCAGTAAACGAGAAAAGTCCACACACAGTGCCTAGCCCAGTGCCTGGCATATAGTCGTGGCTCAAAAATGTGGAGCTCCGATTTTTATTTTGTTACAGACTTGTCTATGTGTCTGCCCCCAGAATCAGCTTTTTTTTTTAGCTGGACTTTTTTTTTTTTCCTAGCTTATCTTCTTTGTACCCTTAGGATTCTGAAAGTGGATTTTCCCCCACTGATTTCCACACGGAGCCCGTGTGAGAGGTGATGGGCGGGAGGCCGGGGAGGGAGGAAGGCCAGCCTTCCCTGCCAGCATTTATGGGACACACGGTGTTCCCCAAGTCCCATCGGCTTTTTCTGTAGTGAATGAAAATGGATTGTCCTTTCTCTAAATCCTCTTTTCCATTTAGGTGAGAGATAGGCTTGCTTTATTTTGCTAGAATTAGGTATTCCAGTTGACTGCTTCTTCTCCCTCAGAGATCCCTGTTTCAGAGATGTCTCTCCCACCCTCCGTGAACAGCGTTTCCCCAGGCACGAACTGTGGCAGTGTCCTATCCTGCTTGTGCCTATTTTTGGATTTTCAAAACACCTTTTTTTTTTTTTTTTCTGATTAGTAAAAATCTTTTAAGGAGTGTGACCTCTCAGGGACCCTGCTGCAGGAGAGGTGATAGTCTGCTTGGGTGGTGGTTTCACGGGCATATACAAATGTAAGAAATCATCGTGTAGTGTGCTTTTAGGATTTGTTGTACTTCAGTTTAGAAAAAAAAAAAATCGAACTTTTAAAGTGTGCTGGAAGTAAGGCCTTGCCCTGCTCTATGACGGCTTTCTTTGGGTGTCTGCCATGGGGGTGCTCGTTTCTGAAACGTCCATCACTATTATTTCAGGGCTGTTGTAGACTTCCAGCCAGCAGCGAACCACGCTGTGTCTTTGCTGGAGAGATTTAAGAACAAAAACAGATTCCCACTAAAAGTTGGTCTTCCTTGACGATGCTAAATCCATCAATGATAATGTATACTCTTCCTGCGAGGGCAGACTGTTGCCCCATCTCTTCAGTCTGTTCCTTGGGATACCACGGCTTGTAACTTCAGAAGTTACGGGAGTTAAAGTTTCAAAGATTTGCTTTTAATAATTTGGCAGTAAGAGTTTGTTGGGAGAATTTCTGAGAATGATATGATGCACAGGAGTACTTAGGGCCTAATGTAAAATAATCTCCTGCCAATATAGTGAACGGGCTTTGATAAATTTCATTTGAAGGAAATCTACGACACCAACATCTGTAACGTATTTCTAGAGCAGTTTTAGTTATGATGGGTGCTACATTTTTTTTTTTTTGAAGATTTTATTTATTTATTTGACAGAGGGACACAGCGAGAGAGGGAACACAAGCGGGGGGAGTGGGAGAGGGAGAAGCAGACTCCCCGCCGAGCAAGGAGCCCGATGTGGGGCTCGATCCCAGGACCCTGGGATCATGACCTGAGCCGAAGGCAGACGCTTAACCTACTGAGCCAGCCAGGTGCCCCTGGGTGCTATGCTTTTATTAACATTTTCCACTTTGTCCGAAGAAATAATAGTCCATATTCTTACATTACCTCTTTTGGATAAACTTTTAAATTTGCATATATACAGCAAAGGGTACATATCTTTATGCGCAGCTTGATTTATGTGCTAGTTTCCTATGGCTGCTATAATAAATCACCACTGTTAGTGGCTTAAAACAACCCTAGTTTATTATCTTATAGTCCTGGAGATCAGAAGTGCTAAAATCAAGGTGTTGGCAGCGCTGGGTTCCTTTTGGAAGCTCTAGAGGAGAGTCCATTTGCTCAGCGTTTCTAACTTCTAGAGGCTGCCTGCATTCCTTGACTCAGGATTCCAGCCGGCAGCTTCAAAGCCAGCAGTGTGGCCTTTTCCAGGCTCTGTCCCTCTCTGGCTCCAGCCCTTCTTCCTCCTGCCGGTAAGGGCCCAGCTGGATAATCCAGGGTCATTCCCCCCCTTTTAAGACCCTTAACTTAATCCCCTCTGCAAAGTTCCTTTTTCTGGGTAAGGCAGCATATTCACAGGCCTCAGGCATTAGGGTGGGGACATCATTGTGGGGGGGGGGGCACCCATTATCCTGTCACAATACATTTTTACAAGTGAACCTATCTGTGTAAACACCACCCAGGTTAGTACACAGGATATTACCCAAATTCCAGAGATGCAGAAAATAATCAAGAATTTTGCAGTATCATAGGCCACTGACTTAAGAGTATGGATTTTCATTTTTTAGAACTATAAATTCTCACAAGATGTCTGAACCTAAGAGGATGGAATACTTATTTATTAAAGACTTATTTTTATTAGAGAGAGAGAGAGAGTGCGCACACACGCAGGGGGAGGGGCCGAGGCAGAGAGCGAATCCTCAAGCAGACTCCCTGCTGAGCACAGAGCCCTGACATGGGGTTCGATCTCACGACCCTGAGATCATGACCTGAGCCAAAACCAAGAGTTGGACACCTAATGGACTGAGCCACCCAGGCGCCCCATTAAAAAGAAACCTTGAATGGCTTTATCCAGGATATTTGTCTCTAATTCATCAATACATCTGTAAACATACACCAAGAGATGTGGCATTTTTGAGCTTTGTTTGGACTCTGGTGGGTGGATGCGTAGACCCCACTGGGTGTTCTATAGACTTGACCCCACTAGGGCTGGAATTGCTCGATATACATTCTCTGTCCATCGGGGGACCCACTGCTTCAAATATTGGTGTCTGTTTTAGGAACGTCATCAGCTGCAACTCCAGCTCCTGGACCATGAAACAGAAATGTCAGGGGAGATCATGGATTCTGACAAGGAAAGGTAAGACGAATGCCCTTCAGCTTATAATGGACTTGGACGGCAGACATGCTGTGTTTTTGTGGGCTGGCCAGGGCCTTGCAGTTTCCTTCATTTGGTCACCACTGTTGCACACTCCCACGTGTAAAAGTCTGCAGAGCTTCCACTACGGGCTGAGAGCTTCCGCTACGGGCCCAGTTTCTTGAGGAGCTCACAGCCACGTCTTGCAGCCCATGGCTGGTTGTTACTGCAGAGAGACAGCACAGGCTGTCTCGGGTGCAAAAGTTCAGTCTATAAATGTTCTCCACAACCTTCAACTCCACAGGATGCACCTTGTTGATGAGGAGCCTCATTAGCTGTGACTAACACTTATGCAATGGAAACTAATTTTAAAATGCCTTTTTTTGTTTCCAAACATTGTTTACTGAAACCTGGCCTTGTGCCCTGGCTATGGGCATATAAAGCCCTGCATCGAAAATGATGGAGCAGTACGTGGTCTCCACTAGAAATTGGAAGGCAGAGAGGCCGTGCACGGCCCTCTGGTGAAGGAAAACAAGTTTGGGATGATTCGAGCAATCTGAGCCAGTTGCTTGACCTTGCTGAGATTCCTTGCTTATCTGTGAACAGAGAATTCTTCTTAAAGGGGGAGGGGGTTACGGTGAGGAGGGCAGTGCCCGTCTCACTGGGTCACTAACTGTGAGGGAGCTGGGGGGCGTGCTGCCTGCCACGTGGTTTGTGCTGAAAAATGTCTATTTTCCTTCCTCTCTGCAACTTCGGACTTGGCGGTCTTCTGTAGACTTTAACGTAGCCTGGCAGAGAGGGGGAGGGGTAAGCCGACCACCAGACCCTCTGTCCACGGCTCCATTCCAGTGGCCCCAAAGCACTGAAGAGTCCGTCTGCTGGTTCCTTTGGTTTCACTGAACCGAGCAAAGTCAGAGGATAGTTTGTGCTGTTTTAAGACAGAACTATGAAGCGTCTTCGGAAGCGGCCCCATCTGTTTTGATGCAGAGAAGTTCTTTCAGTGTGTTTCCCAGTTTCCCAAAATAAATGGTGTGTAGGCAGCTACAGTTCCAGACTTCCCAGGACTCGGCCCCTTGATTTCAGATATTGTGTTGTGGTACTAGACTCCTCTCCTTCTCCGTTTTCCAATTCAAGGCATTTGACTTGTAGAACATATAGTCTATAATATTGTATTAACTCCAGAACAGAGAGCCCCCCATTCTGTAAGCGGTGCCCCCAAAATTCTGGTTCAGTCCCCGGAAAGTAGTGTTGCTGTCCTTACACAAGGTAAACCTTGCAAGTGGGAGCTCGGGTAGGAGTCCCGTGTTCCTCCTGTGGTGGGGTGGTTGACGGTAGTGAATCCCCCGGGAGACTCACGGAGCAGGAGGAACGCGTGGTGGAGTTGCCTTTCGTGTTCTGGGCAGTGCTCCCTTCAGCCGGGACCCTCGGTGCTTGTGGTGCTGCTCTGGTTGAGGACCCCGTGGCCCGCTCTGCTCTTTGTGTTAGGTATCAGCAGCTGGAGGAGGCGTCTGCCAGCCTCCGGGAACGGATCCGGCACCTCGACGACATGGTGCATTGCCAGCAGAAGAAAGTCAAGCAGATGGTTGAGGAGGTAAGCCCCTGTGAAGGGTCACGGGCCAGGATGGCTGCCTGTCGTGGGGACATGTCAGCCCGAGAGCCAGCTCTGACTCTCAGCTCAGTTTTCCGTGGCTCACGAGTGAACGTACTCAGGCCACTGTCTTCATGACCCAGAGGGAAATTTCCTCATATGGCCCCCCCGGGGACTGGTGATTATCCCTCTAATCAGATCAAAGGGTTACAGTTAAGAAGCCTGGGAAGCCCAGTTCATTAGCTCATGGCTTTCAGAGGGCAGCGACTCCCCAAGGGGGTGCCTACAGCTCAGGGGACCCGCGGGTGTGACAAGGAAAGTTTCCTTTAGCTCAGGTCTCTGCACTTCCTTGCACCTGGCTGTCTGTCTCCCAGGGGTCACTCCATCTTTTCTTCCTCGGTGGACAGGTGTCTTTTTTCCCCCTGCTCCCTGTCTCCCCCCTCCTCCTCTTCCTTCTTCCCTCATTCTCTTCTCCATCCCTTCTCTCTCCGTCTGTCTGTGGGATGTCAGACCAAGTTATATGTTTACTGTATGCTAGACATAGCTTACTTGTTTGTTTTTCTAAATGGAAACAATAGGTAAGTTGAACATTTATATTTCTGCCAGAGGAAAAAAAATCTTTTAACTGTGTTACTCTAATCTGTCTCTCTTTCTCGTGGAGATCGGTAGAAGAAAGCCCAAGCTGTGGTACAGCAGATCACATATTATTGTATCTTTCTCGCTATTAATAAATCGGATAGAAAAATAGGAACAGTTAGTCCTAACAGGGTTATAAATTCCCTACGGTCTAATTCTCTATCTGGCATCGAAAGGGCTTTAATTTAATTAAACATTTGGTTGGCAGTGGAAAAACTGAGAAAAAAACATTTTCCTTATATTAAGCACTACTCTGAGAAGTAACCTATTAATGAATTATTGAAATTAAAAGCATGTCTACTAATAAATCACACACGTTAACAGTCAAAGGGAAGATTAAAAGTATGTCTATGAATCTCTAAAATGTTGGCGATATTAGTGGAGTGAGGTTAAGGTCAGGGGATTGTGAGGTTGGGGAGGGATACTTTTTTTTCTCTTGTTGGATAAACATATGTATTAGGTGAAATCTGTTGCCTAAACAAGAAATGCAGTCCTAGTGTGTCGACTCCTGTGAGTCTTATGTTGCCTCATCTGCGAGTGTCAGGGAGCAGAATAGAAGAACGAGGAGCCCCTCTGCACTCCGACTGCACACCCAGGCAGGCGCGACCGTGATGGGTAGATCTTGCCCAGGTATCAACACTAGCTAGGTGTCAGGAGCATGTTTCCCCAGGAAAAGCATTGCTTCATCACACTTAAGTTAGTATCTCGGGGAACTGTGGCTGTCAGATCATAGCTTTTCTGCTTCTGAATTTCACACACAGGAAGTCTGGGGCAAGGGTGTCCCTGTTTCCCCATGAGGCTCTTTGACTGTGGAGCACTGCATTTCTTCCAACTCGCCACAGGGAGGTGGTGTGCATCGTTCTTAGATTTTATCTTAGAGAACCAGGGAACAAAGCCTCCTACCGGTGGGCTTCTGTTTCGGTTATTATCTGTCAGGGTTTAAGATTGGTACCCCGGGGGCACCTGGGTGGCTCAGTAGTTAAGCGTCTGCCTTCGGCTCAGGTCATGATCCCAGGGTCCTGGGATCGAGCCCCGCATCGGGCTCCCTGCTTGGCGGGAAGCCTGCTTCTCCCTCTCCCACTCCCCCTGCTTGTGTTTCCTCTCTCGCTGTGTCTCTCTCTGTCAAATAAATAAATAAAATCTTTAAAAAAAAAAAAAAAAGATTGGTACCCCGATCAGAGATCCTTCTCCAAAAGACACTTTCAAGTGGTTTAGGATTCTTCTGTTTTCTAACTTGTGGAATATAACGGACATACCAATTTGAAGGGAGCAGGGGAAAATTGATATATGAAAATAGGGAAGCGTATAAAGATCACTGTCCATGGGCCTTGCTTTTCTACCTGTGACTTAATATCTCCCAAATAAGCTTCTCTAAGTCCGGATGATGTGGTCTAGAAGACACAGGCATCGGAATGAAATTGCAGGCTGAAATTTAGGATGGCGTCATCAGAGTGAGCACCACCTAGGGGCCAGCTGGGTTCCAACAGTGCCTGGGGACTGGAAAGAAGAGAGACTTTTTATTCTAAATTTAAGTCACTACCTAAATCGGGTAGTAAGAATTAGTGTGTTTGCCCTGCATATCGTGTTAACTTACACCACTAAAGGATGGTTTAAAATCTCAATTGCTGCAGCCCTTGATGTGAATAATTTTTTTTTTTTAAGTTAGAAACATGGCAAAGGGACTCGACAGATGAGCACATTTAGCGGAGCAGAGTCAGGTTGGAAAGGAGTTGAGAACTCTAGTGATTCAGGGAGTGGCTGAAGGACTTGGGGGAAAGATGGCCAAGGAGAGGCCTGAGAGCTGAATTCACATCTCAGAATGTGTTCTTGTTTAGTATTATAATGCAAGGCCAGGCCAGAAGCCCTGGGTGGAACTTGCAAAGAAGCAAATTTCAGCTTTTCATTTCACATAAAGAAAACATTTCTCGGGGCGCCTGGGTGGCTCAGTTGTTAAGCATCTGCCTTCGGCTCAGGTCATGATCCCGGGGTCCTGGGACTGAGCCCTGCATCAGGCTCCCTGCTCGGCCGAAAGCCTGCTTCTCCCTCTCCCACTCCCTCTGCTTGTGTTCCCTCTCTTGCTGTGTCTCTCTCTGTCAAATAAATAAATAAAATCTTTAAAAAAATAAAAAAGAAAACATTTCTAATATTGGCTGCCCTGGGAAGGTATTTAGCGCTTCCTCACAGGTGCATTCCTTATGATCCAGGGCTTGAGCTAGAAGCTCTTTCTATAAAGAATGCTTTACTGTTTACTAGGCCATGCGATCTCAGCATTATCATTACTTTGCATAAGCAGCACGATTAGCAAATTCATAACCTCTGACTTTAGTAGTTTATTTTTATCTGTGAACTCCAGCTATCCAGATACTGAGACAAACTTGACCTAGAAACAAAGGCAGACTTTATGTGTAGCAGATGTTAGGGACAGTTTTGCTTCCCTCACATGAAGCCGGAAAGCTTGTCCGTGTGTTGGCTTCACCTTTCCCGAGGGTGGGGGTCCAGTCTGCACCCACTCCTGGCGTCATTTTAGCCATAATGTCTATGAAGAGACTTAGTTTACTGAAACAATGGGCTGCTTTTTTCAGCTCAAAATTGAAAATGGTGTTCTGAGATTCTTGAAATCCTTAAATGTTAAGCCATGTATTTCCTTCACCTTTAGTAAGATAATTTTTTAATAACAACAATAATAATATAATGACTAAGGACCAACCGGCCTCAGTTTTGCAGTCTTTGGCTGGATAGACGTGGTTTTCACCGTGTGGGATGGCGTATGTCAGTGAGGCCTTGTGCGTGTGGGATGGGCAGGATGGGCCCTTCTGGATGAAGCATTGGTATATGTCTTATGGGGTCAAGCTCGATGCACAGTGTCTCGTGTGACATGTGGGACCAGATACCCGCACCCAGCTAGATCTTTCTAGCAAATTACATCTCCTTTTGTGGTGGATGTCAGGGATTGGTTACCTCCCTCCCATCACTAATTCTAACTGGTTGTGGCTCTGACAAAAAAAAAAATAAAAACGAAATGAGCCCATATATGACCCTTTTAGACTTTTAAGGGTTTGCCAGAAAATATAGAAGGACTGTGGGGAAATTCACTGGTCTGCGGGTTCACCAGGTAAGCACCAGCACTTTCTCTGTGCCTGGAGCAGGTGTGGTCCTGCTCTCCTAGATCTTACCATCTGGGGTGACCTGCCTTCCAGAGTCATTCTTGCGCATGGACTTCTTTCTTCTGTTGAAAAGTCTTGTTGGGATTGGGGTTCCTTTGTCTTCAGTCCGGCTGCATTCTTCAGCTTGCCTTTCGCGGAACCGGAGATGGGGGCGGTGCCAAAGGCTGGGCGGAGCCTGACGCTGGAGCGGAGCCCCCTGGACGCTCATTCACGCCTCTTCTCCGGCTCTTAACCCCGGCCTGTCCCCTGCCAGCCAAAGCAGCTTTCCTGCCAAGGGGGAAATTACCTGGAGGCAAAACCAAATTCTTATTTGCTCTCGAAAAGCGGGGGAATCTTACATTTTTGCCAATAGGCAGTGCTATTATTCAGCTGACTACGTAGTAATTTCATAGGGAGCTCCTTCTCCCTCTTCAACCGTAGGAATCCTTTGGTTTGCCATCTCCTTCTCGCTTCGCATCGCGGTCTCGGTGGGCGAAGTGGTTCTTCCGGCAGGGTGTGTCTCGCCGCGTGTCCTTTCAGTGGCAGAAGAGACTGTTCTGGCTTTAGACTTTTCTTTTGCAGGAAGCCGTTCCGCTCCCGCTTGTCCCCCTCTGTGATTTAGATGTTTAATGAGTGCAAAGGTGGAAGGAACTGATTTTCAGAATAGTGCTTCTCCTCGCAGGCTGCGCGGCAGAATCACTTGGCGAGCTCTAAAACATGCCAGACCTGGCAGATGGCAGTGCGAGGGAGGCGCTGGGCAGGGCAGCGGTTTTGGCTTTTTGTTTTTTTTTTTTTAAGCTGCACAAGATTCCAGGATGGAGCCAGGATGCAGAACCGTGCTCTGAAGTTCTAGCTGGCTTGGGTCTCCACGTGGGGTTTCCATGTGTTCATATGTTCAGCCAGCCTCCCTCACAAGCTGCTGTCCCTGAGGTGGGAACTTGGACTGGAGTGAGAACGGCTCCAGGGAAAAGAACCAGGGGGACCACTGAGCAAGGACCATGAGCATGGACGTGGGAGAGCTGGTCCCAACGTGTGACCGTCTGGTCTGGTCATGGAATCTTGCATTTCTTGCCAGCCCCATCGGGAGAGGGTGCTTTGACAGCTCACTCTTAATGCCATACTGGCCTGGTGGTATCCAGATAAACTTCCCAGATGCTCCCCAGATGCATCTAGAGAGAACATGTCACCAAGGTGGTAGATGAGGCATACTTGTTAAATAGATACTAGACTTCACGGGACAGTATCCAGTCCGCCTGCTGTCCTTGGAAGCTGAGAACCTGCCACTAATGAAGAGACCAGCAGTGGTTCTCGTGGATCTCCTTCCCTCTGTTGCTTGTGGGTGTGGGTGTCTGGCCTCACCCTGGTTTAAATTCC